AGGGCCCGGTTTGGGCCTCCCGGGCCGCGGCGGCGGCGAGGTGGCGGCGCCACGTGGTGGCGGCGGATTGGCGGTGGCGGCCGGCGGACGTTGTCCGGTGCGGGTCGGACACGTCCGGCGCGCGAGATCTGTTTTTTTTAGGGTTTCGAAGAGGGAGAGAGATCCGAAAACGGGGGGGGGGCTATTTATAGGCATAAGTGGAGCTAGGAGAGTCCAAATGAGGTGCGGTTTTCGGCCACGCGATCGTGATCGAACGCTCTAGATGATGGAGCGGAGTTTGGTGGGGTTTGGGCCAAATTGGAGGGGTGTTGGGCTGCAACCCACACGAGGCCTTTTCGGTCCCTCGGTTAACCGTTGGAATATCAAACGAAGTCCAAATGGCACGAAACTTGACAGGCGGTCTACCGGTAGTAAACCAAGGCCGCTTGGCAAGTCTCGGTCCAATCTGGAAATGTTTAATCCCCACACACGAAAGAAAGCTAGAAATGACCACCAGAGGAGAACGAAGCGCCGGAATGCAAAACGGACAACGGGGAAAATGCTCGAAAGCATGAGACGAACACGTATGCAAATGCAATGCACATGATGACATGATATGAGATGCATGAAAACGACAACAACACACGGAGACAAAGACCCGAACCCGAGAAAATAAAATAACTTAACGCCGGAAATGGCAAGAGTTGGAGTACAAATTGGGAAAGTTACATTCGGGGTGTTACAGGCGGTGAGTATGAGCGCCTCAACTCCTTCTTTCGTCAAGTAGGGATCACACATCACGTATCATGCCCACATGCCCATCAACAGAATGGGTTAGCCGAGAGAAAACATAGGCACATTGTGGACGTGGGTCTCTCACTTTTAGCTCATGCTTCCATGCCCTTAAAATTTTGGGACGAGGCTTTTCTAGCTGCCACCTATCTTATCAATCGTACTCCTAGCAAGGTGATTAATCTTGACACTCCACTGGAAAAATTGTTTCATGAAAAACCCAACTACCATGCCCTACGCACCTTTGGTTGTGCATGTTGGCCAAATCTCTGACCCTTTCATGCTAAGAAGCTCGAGTTTCGTTCAAAACAATGTGTTTTCCTTGGCTATAGCAATCTCCATAAAGGGTTCAAGTGTCTCGATGTCAAAGAAGGACGGGTCTATATCTCTTGAGATGTCATCTTTGACGAAACTATTTTTCCATTTGCCTCACTAAATCCAAATGTCGGCATTCCTCTTCGTTCCGAAGTTCTTCTTCTTGCAGAAACTGCTCCATCCGAACCTCTTGATCATGGGGGCGAACAGACAGCTGATCTTTCGGTTAATTCATAAACATCCTGCTGTGAATTTTGGTGGAAATCCTATTTTTGGCTATGATTTTATGCAGCAGACAGGCGTGGAACACGATGCAGATTCAGGTGTTGCGCCGGAGCCAGCAGGCGGCGATCCCGGGGAAGATCCTCCCTCGCCTGCCGCGCCAGACGGCGGGATTCGCACCGCATCAACCTCGGGAGCGGGCGATCCAGCGTCGCCACGACGCATGTCCCCTCGCGGGCCCGCGGGCACAGGCGCTATCGCACACTCAGGGTCAGGTGGACCAACAAGCAGCGAGGCGCCGCTCTCCACACGCCAAGTGGTGCGGTCCCCTCCGCATGGTGACGCGGGCCAATCAGGCGCGTCGCAAGCGGGCGACAGCATCCGTCTTGGATCTGCTGCTGCCGGCCCAGGTGCGGACGCTGGCGATGGCGACAGGATCCGCCTCGGATCTGGTGCAGCCGGGTCAGGTTCTGGATCCGCTGTGCAGGGCTCCGGATCCTCTGTGCAGTCGCCTTATGCGATGATTCCTGCGTCACCACCAAGAACAAGATCTCAGCATGGTATTTTGAAACCAAAAGTACGTACGAACGGTACGGTCAGGTATGACAAAGGGCGTCGTTTTGCTGGTCTTGTTGTCACAGGAGAACCAAATACCTTGGTAGAGGCATTGGAAAATAAAAATTGGAAAAATGCAATGAATGAGGAATATAATGCTCTCATGAAAAATAGAACATGGCACCTAGTTCCTCCAGCAAAGGGTAGAAACTTAATTGACTGCAAATGGGTCTATAGAATTAAAAGAAAGGCAAATGGAGAAATAGACAGATACAAGGCTAGACTAGTTGCAAAGGGGTTTAAACAAAGATATGGTATAGATTACGAAGATACTTTTAGCCCTGTTGTGGAAGCAGCTACTGTTAGACTTGTTCTGTCCATTGCAGTATCAAACAATTGGAGTCTTCATCAATTGGATGTGCAGAATGCGTTTCTTCATGGCGTTCTAGAGGAAGAAGTGTATATGATACAACCACCTGGGTATGAGGTAAAGGACAAGTATCATTATGTATGCAAGCTTGATAAGGCTTTATATGGTTTGAAACAAGCACCTAGAGCATGGTACTCTAGGCTGAGTGTAAAACTACAGAGACTTGGTTTTCGGCCATCCAGAGCTGACACATCACTGTTCTTCCACAGAAAAGGCAGAATCACCATTTTCATGCTAGTATATGTTGATGATATTATTGTTGCAAGCTCATCGCAGGATGCAACCAAGGCATTGCTTGAAGATCTAAGGAGAGACTTTGCTCTTAAAGATCTTGGTGATTTGCACTACTTCTTGGGAATAGAAGTAAAACAGGTTAAAGATGGCATAGTCTTGAGTCAAGAAAAGTATGTGTCAGATGTGCTAAAACGAGCAGGTATGATGAATTGCAAAGTGTCAAATATGCCTCTCTCAACTTCTGAAAAATTATCTAAGGAAGAAGGAGAGCCTTTAAGTGCTGAAGATTCTACAAACTATAGAAGTGTTGTAGGTGCTTTGCAATATCTAACACTTACAAGACCTGATATATCTTTCCCTATCAATAAAGTATGTCAGTTCTTGCATGCTCCCACCTTTGCACATTGGACAGCAGTGAAAAGAATCTTAAGATATTTAAGAGGTACTATGAGTACAGGGTTGAAAGTCACAAGATCAATGTCAACTTTGATGAGTGCATTCTCTGATGCTGATTGGGCAGGTTGTCCTGATGATAGAAGATCAACAGGGGGCTTTGCTGTTTTCTTTGGACCAAATCTTATATCATGGAGTGCACGGAAACAAGCTACTGTATCAAGATCAAGTACAGAAGCTGAGTACAAAGCTTTGGCTAATGCCACGGCAGAGTTGATATGGGTTCAAACCTTGTTGAATAAGCTACGTGTTAATCACTCTCCTGTTGCATGGTTGTGGTGTGATAACATTGGTGCAACATATTTATCAGCGAATCCAGTGTTTCATGCTAGAACCAAACACATTGAGGTAGATTATCACTTTGTGCGAGAAAGGGTAGCTAAGAAGCTTCTTGATATTCGGTTCATTCCCACTAATGATCAAGTTGCAGATGGTTTCACTAAAGCCTTATCGTGGCGCAAGGTAGAAGAGTTCAAGAACAATCTCAACTTGGTGAAGTTATGATTGAGGGGGTGTGTTAGAATATATTGTATGTATATACGGTTGTGTACGTATAAAACCGTATATACTCTTGATGTTGCGTGCCTGGTCAACTTTGTAATCTGGTAGTTAGGTTTAAGCTTCGATCCTTATCTTGTAGATAGCTAACTTGAGGATCAAGCCTAACCAACTACCGAATCTTGTAAACCCTAGCCTATGGCTATATATAACACACAACGCGTCCCTGCTAGGCATACGCTTCAAGCCATCTTTCAGCAAGGAGGGCGGCGGGGAGGAGGAGTTTGACGTCAAGGAGTGGCGGAGCATCTTCCCAAACTGCAATGACGATGGCACCGGCCCGGACCCATGTCTCACCGACGATGGCCTGTCGAGGAAGGATTGGCTCAACCTCCACTATGGCCGATGAGTAGTCTAGTGTAGTTTAAGTTTACTAGTAAGTTTGAATTTATGTTTAATGTTCGGTTGTCAAGACTATGTTGAACGTATGTTTAAATTTATGCAAAATTCGGTTGAAGCTAAATTGAATGTATGCAAATTTATGTTTTATTTCGCTAAGTCTAGGGGATCGGCTAGAACCGACCAAAACTTAATGGAGTATAAATACTCCAGTAAGGTTTATTAGGCCGGATATTCCTTTATTTTATAGGGGATCGGTTAGAAATGCCCTAAACTAGTATAGATTTGTTTGAACTTAAACTAACAGGAAATTGTCCCATTTATGGATATGTGTTCAAATACATGTACACATGACTGTTGCCACCATATCTGAAAGTCAGCATATGTCATGCATACACAAGTGATCATACATTTACTAGCTCGCAATACTATCATATCGTCCCTGCTAGTAAGTAAACGCTCGAGCAGATGAAGACGCTCCTTATTTGATATATGGATACAGACCATATATATTTGGTTTCTAGAGTGACAGACACCGTTTTGACCGCCACCCCACAATATTCATCTCAAGGATAGCCGCTGCCACCATCACCATTTTGACCGGCTCCTCCTCCGCCGTTGTTGTCGTAGCCACCACCGTACCCAGGCCCATATCCACTATACCCGTCTGGACGTTGCGCAGGCATCGTTTCTTCTGCATGGATGCAAAAGAATGTCATTATTATACATATAGACATAGCACCTGCAGGCTGCATACAACTTAGCAATATGTCCTATTCAATTATTCAATTAACTAGCAACACTACATGTTCTTAACAGTTTTGCGGTATCAGTTTGCATACCACCTACTGCATGCGCTACATCCTGGGAGACGAGCAGGAGAGCGACCAATACGACGCCAAGGAGAAGTGGGTACTTTGCAGCCATTTCTATGCTTCTTGATAACAAGTTCGATGGAGCTTTGCAAGCTTTGTCTGGGAAGATAGCGTCCCAGCTATGCCCTATTTATAGAAGGGCCGGCACATGCATGCAAGTTCACCGATGCTGTTAGAATTTGAACGAGCAGGGTATTTGTGCATCTCACTCTCAACTTTTCGTGTTAGACTTCCCTAAAGGGCATGGCACTCCCATGCATCTATCAGCAATTTACCTGTGACGGAGGTTATAGGACAACATCCTAATTAATATCAACTAGTAAAGAGAGATAGGCTCTACGTCGAACTCCCTTTTTACAACATTGTCTGTCTGGTTCATAAAGAAACATTTGTGAATAAAAATAAAAGATGTCTTCGCAACAAAATCTTGAACACAAGAGAAAAAAATAACTATTAAATGTGTACAAAGAGAGAGAGAGAGAGAGAGAGAGAGAGAGAGAGAGAGAGAGAGAGAGCAGAAAATCACATTGCGGCAAAGCATGAGTTCAGCACTAGTTTTTCAAATTATCGTTTATATAAATTTCAAAGGATCTTTGTGAGATACCCAGACAAATATTGATGGTGTGTGGGTCGATCTAGGACTTCGGGGCTTTTTGGAAGGATGAGCAAGTGTGAGAGAGCCAAGCCGGTGATGAGGTTAAGGAGGAAGAGAGTTCATTAGGGGGTTTTAATTGGAATGGCTGAATCTTTCTTACTCTCCTTCAGAAAAAGGTTTGATTTAGGCGTTCATTCTCTACATTGTACCTTAGGCCCTAACTTCCTCTAATGGAGTGAACTAAGTCTGGCTTAGATGGTTAGGTTCATTATGGTGGAACCAACCGAGCTGGTTTCAAGTCCTAGAGTGACATGGGTACTAGCATATTATTTTGTGAATTGTTTTTTTCAGGCTTTCTGGTGCAATTTTTTTTTTCAGCGGGTAAACATGTCCGTAGAAATTAGCCACGTGTGGAAGGAGAGGTATGCTGGTCTCATTTCATTAGCAAGACAAAGAGTCACCTGCTAGTCACTCCGACTCCAAGGAGTCATATTCTTTTTTGACGCTCCCAAGAGTGGTATTCACTTCATACACAAAGTGTTGTGCATATAAGCTACTACCCCTCTCTCAGTTTACAGGATGTGCGCGTGCTCCTAGGTCGTCAATTTGACCAACCTAATATAAGTCATATATTACAAAAATATATATCAATATAAACTTCAGATGTTTTATTTTCAAATCGTATAATTTTTGTGTTGTATAGTTTATATTAAGGTGATAAAATTGGTAATCTAGGTTACGCGTAGGACTTGCAAAACTGAAACGGAGGTAGTACCTGAAGTTAACAAACACCTTGCATGAACATATACTCGCTCCTTTCCGGTTTATAGAGCTTATCTCAAAATTTTTAGTTGTTTCCGTTTTATGAGGCTTAATTTGATTGTTTCTCATCACATGTTCAAATTCCAAGGTGCATTAAATCATTGCATGCAAGTATTAAGAGAAAATTGACGAATGCATGTACTTTATGCATGCATGCATTGCAATTAATACATTGGTAAACATATTTTTTTGAGAAAAACAAAAGATTAATTGGGTGCTTTTGCAAACTACAAAAAGTATTCCACCACTCATCATCTACCTTGGTTGGTGAGATTTTTGAATTGAGCCTTATAAACTGAAAAGGAGGGAGTATACATCAGAGATTTTCTTCTCAATAAATGATAAACAACAAATGGCCATGGGTTTTCCTCTGCATCTTTTTCTAATGATCTTTTTCGTTGAGATGGAGTCTTTTTCTATTAGTTTTAATATGACCAGAAGCGTGTCACTCAGGTAAGGTTATGATAGCTCTAGAATTAAAAGTGCTTATTGTGTCGTGTGATGACCGCAAGACGACTAATATCAACGCTACAGTTGGGTTGACGTAAAAATATACAGAAATTTAGCACATCCAGTTGCGCTCCCAACCTGTATAAATTCAACATACTTTCATTGGTGTAACGACATACAAGAACACCCACACAACTAGCTAACATGGCAACTGTATCCTCGGCATGCATTTCCATGGCTGTACTACTACTACTCCTACTACTTTCATTCATCTCATGTTCTTCTCCGAGTCCAACCGCCGGCAACGGCAGCGATGCTGATCGCACCGCCTTGTTATCTTTCAAGGTCCAATTTTCTGACCCCTTTGGCATCCTTGCCAAAAACTGGACCACGGAGAGTTCTTTCTGCCACTGGGTGGGCGTCACATGCAGCCGCCGCCGACAGAGGGTCACTGGACTGTCACTGCCATACAGATCCCTCCATGGACCGATCACTCCTCTCTTGGGTAACCTCTCTTTCCTTTCTTTCCTAGACATCACCAGCACCAACCTCACTGGCTCCATCCCAACTGATCTTGGCAATCTACATCGTCTCAGATATCTCCTTCTAGGTGAAAATAGCCTATCAGGTGCCATTCCTCCTAGCCTAGGAAACCTGGCAGGGCTTAAGGTCTTTGATTTACGGCACAACCAACTCTCGGGCCAGATACCTCCAGGGTTGTTGCTGCATCTGAACAACCTTAAGGAGATTTATCTACAAAGAAATTATTTGAGTGGGCAAATACCACCTTATCTGTTCAACAACACTCCTTCCTTGAGGTACCTCAAATTTGGAAACAATAGTCTATCAGGTCCTATACCAGATGGTGTTGCCTCCCTGCCCATACTTGAGATCTTAGACATGCAGTACAATAAGCTTTCCAGCCTAGTGCCAGAAGCTATCTACAATATGTCTAGACTACACGTCATGGCACTCGCTGGCAATAGGAACCTAACCGGGCCAATACCAAGCAATCAAACATTCAGCCTCCCTATGTTGCAATTTATATCTCTCGCACAAAACAGATTTACTGGTCAATTTCCAAAAGGTATTGCATCATGCCAATACTTGAGAGAGATTTATTTGCATACCAATTCTTTTATGGATGTTGTGCCAACATGGCTAGCTAAATTGACACACCTTGAAATAGTTTCCTTGGGGGGAAATGACCTCATTGGTTCAATCCCACATGTTCTTAGCAATCTCAGCAGTCTTACAGTACTAGAGCTCTCTTTTGGCAACTTGAAAGGAAATATTCCACCAGAAATAGGAAAACTCCAGAAACTTTCATATTTGCTTCTTATGGATAATCAACTGTCTGGCTCAGTACCGCCAACACTTGGAAATATTGTTGCTTTGAAAAAGCTTGTTCTATCACACAACAAATTAGAGGGGGGCATGGGCTTCTTGTCCGCTCTTTCTGGATGTAGACAACTTGAACGCCTTATCCTGAACTATAATTCTTTCATAGGTGCCCTTCCAGACCATGTGGGGAATCTCTCAACAAAGTTAATTAGTTTCATTGCAAATCAAAATAAATTAACAGGTAGGCTTCCATCAACAATTTCAAACTTAAGTAGCCTTGAACTGATAGATCTTGGATACAACCAACTCACTGACTCAATTCCAGAATCAATCACTATGATGGGAACTCTTGTGTTGCTTGATATCTCTAACAATGATATTTTAGGCACTATGCCAACAAAAATGGGTATGCTTTTGGGTCTAGAACGACTATTTCTTGAAAGAAACAAAATATTTGGCTCCATACCAGATAGCATTGGTAATCTTAGCAGGTTAGAATACATTGACTTGTCCAATAACAGGTTAAGTCAAACACTACCGGCAAGCTTATTCCAACTTCAGAAACTTATCCAAGTAAATCTTTCTTATAATTCAATAGTTGGTGCTCTGCCAAATGATGTTGCTGGGCCAAGACAAATCGACCAAATTGATATTTCATCCAATTCCTTGAACGGGAGTATCCCAGAATCATTTGGTCAACTTAATATGCTAACCTACCTAATTCTGTCACACAACTCATTCGAAGGTTCAATTCCTAGCACACTTGATAAGCTAACTAGCTTAACTTCATTAGATCTCTCCTCCAACAAACTCACTGGTGCCATTCCCATGTTCCTTGAAAACCTTACCGACTTGTCTATGTTGAACCTCTCCTACAATAAGCTAGAAGGTCAAATACCCGAGAGAGGTATTTTCTCAAACCTCACGACACAATCTTTCATTGGGAATACCGGGCTTTGTGGTTCTCAACGTCTTGGATTTTCTCCTTGCCATAAAAAGTCCCACCCTTATAGTAGTCTTCTTCTCAAATTTCTACTCCCAGCTATCCTGGTAACTTGTAGCGCCCTTGCTATTTTTTTGTACCTAATGATTGAAAAGAAGCATAAGAATTTCAAAGCTCACGGCGATGTGGTAGATGCCACAAGCCATCAATTAGTTTCCTACCATGACCTTGCCCATGCCACTCGGAATTTCAGTGATGATAACATGTTAGGGTCTGGAGGATTTGGAAAAGTATTCAAGGGACAACTTAGTAATGGTTTGGTTGTTGCAATAAAGGTTCTTGACATGAAGCTTGACCATGCCATCAGAGTCTTTGAGGCCGAGTGTCATGTGCTCCGCATGGTGCGGCATCGTAACCTCATAAAAATACTCAACACATGTTCAAACATGGACTTTAGAGCATTGGTTCTTCAGTTCATGCCCAATGGCAGCTTGGAGACACTGCTACATCATTATGATGGCGCAATGTACCTAGGATTCATGGAGAGGATGGATATCATGCTCGATGTGTCATTGGCAATCAATTATCTCCACCATGAGCACCACGAGGTGGTTTTGCATTGTGATTTGAAGCCTAGCAATGTGTTATTTGACATGGACTTGACGGCGCATGTGGCGGACTTTGGCATTGCAAAGATGCTATTAGGTGATGACAACTCGATGATTGTTGCTAGCATGCCTGGAACGGTTGGTTACATGGCACCAGGTACATTGCTAAAATTTGTTATACTGTTTGCTAATTATATTTCATTAATTGTTCTTTAGAGTCTTTACATATTTTTCTCGTGTAGAATATGGGTCTATGGGAAAAGCATCACGTAAGAGTGATGTATTCAGCT